TTCATGAAATATTGTAATTTTACAAAAAAAAAAAAAATCACCTGCTTGGAACTTCAACACAAATTTAATAATTCTTAAATCCTTGGTTAGGATTTGAATTACCAGATTTCTTTCATTGAATCTAGCTATAATTACCTACATATAATGTGAATAGTCCTTTTGTTATGGCCATAATACAGCCGGCACATTATGGTTGTAAATCATGATGGTTGTTAAGCAGATCCTCACATGACTGACCTGATTTTTACAACCTATTTTTGCTGCAGTCATTAAATGAACTTATTGTTGACTATGGGGCTTTTTTGTCAAAACCCGGAAATGAACGCCAGTTTTCTGCAAAAAATATAGCAAATTAACACTCATGTGACTGTGGGACACTGCAAATGGCCGTGAATGCAGTCATGTGACTGGGGGGAGGGAGGCATCAGAAGTTCAGAACTGAGTCACAAGAACCTTTTCAAGGGTCCATTGTAACTTTGAATTGTTATTAAATGCTGAGTCATAAAATCAAGGACTTCCTCTAATAATAACATTGCAGTTATTCATCCCTTCCTCCCTGCCACCTCCCCCCAGCCTAGTTTAAATACCCGGTTCTTAACAGACTTCTGAAATACTAAAAAGAGTTCAGTGACTATGGCAGCAAGCTGTTTAAAGAAGCTTCTCTTTAAAGAGTTTTATCCGTGCTGCCGCTAGTCATTGCTCATCTTGTCCACTTGAAAATAAAGAGGATTTGTGGCTTTCATGTACTTAGCTAGTCCCACATGGTCCCCTATAGTGGATTTACCGTAGACTTCTCAGCAGCTCTGCAGTGATTGAAAAAGCTGTAACATGGAATACAATTGGAATTTGATTTTGCTACAATAGTCAACTGGAACACTGGCAACACATCTACATGCATTGCCTATGGGCAGAAATATGTTGTTGTTTTTTCTGTTTTAATTTAAGCTACTACTGTAACAATGTGTACGGTAGTACCTTCAAGCTTAATGGATTCTGTCTCCTTAGATATCAGAACTAAATGTCTCCTTCCTTGCTCTTTCTCCTTTGATCTAGAAAAACCCTGTCCCTGCCTTGAGAGTCTTGTTAGGTAACTATGCAGTTGAGTGATCAACACCTGCATATGGCTGGAATGAGAGTCTGTGTAGATTTACATGTACTTTTTCATTAAAGCATTCTTGGCTAGTTGTCCAAGAAACTTAGATTCTTTAGAACAGTGGTCTCCAACCTTGGCCACTTTAAGACTTGTGGACTTCAACTCCCAGAGTTCCTCAGCCAGCTTTGC